TGAAAAAAAAAAATTCTGTTCCTCTTCCTGCTACAACTCCAAATCCCTAGCTCAGTGCTAGGTGACCTTGGTAAATGAGTGTTGGATTGGATAGAATTGATTTCTCTTTCATATGGTTATCTTTGCCCCCTTTTCAACTTTCCAGTCATTGGGAAGAGGGTCGTGGTCCTGTCAAGTGTGATGAATAAGTAGATCATGGGGTGTGCCATTTTCCGCTAGGGCGGTAGCCGTGTTTTGATTTAAGAATGCTGAGTAGATAATAACGAGCAATTCCAATGCGGTCGGCAGATAGAGAGTTCAACTAAAAAAAAAAAAAAAAAAAAATTTAAATACCTACCTTACATTGGTATTAACAGATGTCACTAGTACAATTGCTTGATTAGCATGTACATTATCCATATAGCTTTGGTCTATACTTTCCATAGAGCCTAAACTTTATAGATCACTCTCTAGATGAACATATACACCAAACTAGTGTTTAATATGACAGCTTTGATGTTTTTTAAGTCTAAGTGAACCTCCCAAGGGCAGTGGTGGTTTGAGGCATCTTCTTGGGCCTGGTTTTGGGATCTGACTAGTGTAGCTTCTGACCAGCTGCATAGACATAACTCTAGGTGTCAGTTCTTTGTGACTGAGCAGCATGTATGATTGGCTGTTGGAACTTTCTTCTTTTTGAGTTGAAGTCTCACTCTGTTGCCTAGACTAGAGTGCAGTGGCACACTCCCGGCCACCACAGCCTCTACCTGCTGGGCTCCGGTGATCCTTCCACCTCAGCCTTCTAAGTAGCCAAAATTACAGGTGTGTGCTATCACACCCGGCTAATTTTTGATTTATTGTAGAGACAGAAGTCTTGCCAAGTTGCCCAGGCGGGTCTCGAACCCATGGACTCAGACAATCCACTCATCTCGGCCTCCCAAAGTGCTGGAATTACAGGCTGAGCCACTGAGCCTGGCCAGCTATTGGAACTTTCTTTTCCTTCCTCTGTTATGAGTTGGTAAGGAAGCAGAAGGTGAGGCAGTGCCAAGCAGCAGGAAAGGGAGCCTGAGATGGAGTTCTGAAGCCTCTCATGTGAGAAGTCTGTCTCTAAGCCCTGGGACAGACCACTTGGCTCTCCAGCCAGCTGACCAGGTATGTGTGTTGCAGGTGGGACTGGGAAAGAGGAAGTACCTGTATGCCCTGGAGGAGGGGATAGTCCGGTACACCAAGGAGGTCTACGTGCCCAATCCCAGCAACACGGAGGCTGTGGATCTGGTGACCAGCCTGCCCAAAGGCGCTGTGCTCTACAAGACTTTTGTCCATGTGGTTCCAGCCAAGCCTGAGGGCACTTTCAAACTGGTAGCTATGCTTTGAAGTTCCAGTTGAGGCCATTGGACAGAGGCTGGGGCCCACGTGACAGGAGGAGGAGGTATCCGAAGAAGTCAAGTGTTGGGGTGACGACAAGGTCTCCCGAAGAAGAGACCTGCTTGATGGTGACTCTGCGAAGTGACTGCTGGAAAACCCTTCAGGAGACCTGACCTGTGGCCAGAAATAAAGTTAGCCCTAGTCTTGAAGCCATGCTATTCGGGTACAAACCTGGATGTAACTGCTTAGTGAGGTGTTTGTCCTTAGCCATGTTCTCTAGTGCACACCGAGGGGGAACCTCAAAGCAGGAAAGAGGCGTATCCAGGTGAGGAAGTGAGAAGAAGGGACTTGGTTTGGAGGAGGTGACTTCTTTGGCACCGTCCCCCAGGGGAAGAAGAGAGCTTGTGTTCGAGGATGTCACTGCCATTTCCCCTCTTGTATCCCATAGAAGTTCAGGTCCTGGGCCCTGAGAGAAGGGTGGGGACAGCCAGTAGAGGAAGGGCTGCAGCTCCAGAGATGGCCACAGGGGAGACCCGTCCCTCCCTCTGCAGGTCTAGGGCAGAGAGGGAGCTTGTGGGATAGCAGGAGAGCCTCCCGAGAGGCCCAGCAGTGCCGAGGCCCTTACAGTGGTGAGGCAGAGTGGGTAACACATGGCTTCTTCCCGCTCACTACAGAGTTAGACACACCAAGTCTACCTTCTTTTCTGGGTCTTGATTGATCTCAAATCCTACACAGCAGCAAAGAATCTGGCCTCGGAAGTACTCAGTGAGGCTTAGGGTGCTGCCCACTCCCAGGCAGCGGCCCCAGGATTCCTCCCTCACCTGCATCCCCTGGGACTTGGCTGCTTTCCCCCATCTTGATTTTGGTGGAGCATTCCCTGGAGCTGAGACAGGAAAGGGGCAGTCCCGGGAGTCATGAAGTTCAACTCAAGGTGAAGCTCGGGCCTTCGTTGTCCTCCCATCCCAGAGAGGCTTGGCCTGAGTCAAGGGGCCAGGAAGGAAGTCTCAGCTGAGGAATGTGGTTATTCCCGCTGCTGGAGGTAGGTGGCATTGGCTGCAGCCCCATAGAGGGGCTCATTGAGTGCTGTGGCTTCCTTTCAAGGACTCCACTCTACCCTGAAAGCAGGCACTCTGAGGACTGAGGACAGAGAAGCGGCCCTGTCCTGGAGTTCTTCCTCAGGACATGCTCCTAACCCACCTCCTGCAGATCCATGGCAAAGGGAACTTGGACTTTGTGGGGTTCATTTTGGTGTCCTTCTGTGTGGGGGCCTAAGGTACCAAGGCCAACTGGGGTAGTCCTTAGGCAGGGGAGATTGGGGAGTTGTCTCCATAGTCTCAGTGCTAGCCCTTTCAGTCCCCAGGAAAAATAGGCAGAGGCAGGACAGAGGTGGTTGTTGCCTCCTGCTCAGATATTTCCCTGAGTAGGGCAGGTGGCTGCTTCCTGGGACGGATGAGCAGAGCCACGGGTGGGTGGTACAGGCAGTGACCTTAGGGCTTCCTTAGAGCTTGGTGGCAGCTGGAGGATGGGAGCGCAGAGGCATTAGCTATTACCCCACCTCCCATATACTTGCCCCCTTTCTTGGGACTGCTGCTTTCTGTCTCCCCACCCTTGGATGACTGGTCCTTCCTAGAAATAGGTTGGTCCTAGAGCTTGGTGGAAATCCCTCTGGGTAGACCTCCCTGGACTGGGGTTTTCAGTGGTCCCTCTACACAAAGAGAGTGGCCCTTTCCTTGTCCTGACCCAAGGGCCTCTATTTGGGCTTTGTGTGTGAAAATCTAATTTGTGCAGAGCTCAGCTCCTCAGGACCCCTAGGCTGCAATGGCTGGACATTCACTTCTGCAGCTCTAGAGCCCGGAGTCCCGTGCACCTGGTTGGTGAACCTGCTGCCAGACCTTCCTCTGAACACTTGTAGCTGGGCAGGTGAGCTGGCTGTCACAGGTGCCGCTGGTGGCTCCTGGGCAGCCCCATAAAGAGTACTAACCCTGTGACCAAGAAAGGCCAAGGGAACAGAGAGACAAGTGCCCCATCCTCCAGCTTGTCTGTATTCTCTTCCCGAGTGAGCCCTCCTCCCCTCCAAGAAGTGCTAGGCTTCACCCTATCCTTCCCTCCCCCTCATCTTCTTAGTCCCTTAGCCATACTAGGTCTCTTGCCTGGCCTCAGGCCCCCAGTGCACACATCTCCCCACTCCCAGGCAGCAGCTCCAGGATTCCTCCCTCCCCTGCATCCCCTGGGTCTTGACTGCTTTCCACCAGCTGGACCTTGGTGGAGTATCCCCTGGCGCTGAGGTAGGGAGGGGGCAGTCCTGGGTGTCATGAAGGTCGGTTCGAGGTAAAGCTCAGGATTTAGGGTCCACGTTCAAGAGAGCAGAGCCCAGGCCCTTTTTCATGCCCCTTTCTCGTCCCTTCAGCCCTCTCCACTGAGGCCAAGACAAGAGACCTGGCCCCAGGCATTTCTGAAATGCGCCTGGGTGTGAAGAGATTCCATTCCTTTCTGGCCACTAGCTCGTTCTCTCACCATTTGGCAGCTCTCGTGTCCTGTGGAGGGAGAGTCTGAGAAAATCTCCTGTGCCCACCCCTCGGTCCTCAGCCTGGTGCCCAGAGTTAAGAGTTCAGAGTCTGGGGCTGCAGCTCAAAAAATTTTGCTTTCTATGCAGGACGGGGACTGGCAGTGCTGTAGTTACCATTTACCTGTCCCACAGAAGTCCAGCTTGCACTTCTCTTGGGAGCTGGGAAAAGACCTTACCCCCCTCAGCATGGTATTAACCCTTTCTACATTGTTGCCCTGACCCTGAAGGGACCCAGATTGGATACTACAGGGCTTGTCAGAGAAGAACTCCAATTCTGAGCAATTGTTCTTTTATCAGGATGGGGTCAGGGCCTGAAGGCAAGGGGTTGGTGGGTAGGGGGCTGACGTACTGGCTGGGACTCCGAGGGAAGTGGCAGGGGCAGAGGACCTGGCAGCACTGGTGCAGTAGCAAGAGGATGGCCATGATGAGCCCCAGGGACGAAACTGCCCTCTCCTCAGAGGCATAGTTGGTTCAGCCTGGACCCAGCAAGCACTAGCCCATCTCCCCCCAGACTGGAATTCTACTCTAGAAGCTGGGGTAGGAATGACCTGGCTGGGTCTGATGTCAGCTTGACAAGAAGGTAAACAGGTGCAGAAAACTCCCTTGCTGCTGCATCAAGTCCTTGGGGCAGAGATGTGTGAGGGAGGGTGCGGAGGCCTGAGCCCCCCTCTGCCTTCAGCCCACAGAGGAGGGAGTCGTGTGAAAGGAGATTTTGGAGGGCAGTCTTGGGGAGGGGAAGGAGGTGGTACCCTTAGAAATGGTGAATCCGAGGAGGCTGGAGAGCCTGAGCTCAGCAACCCCTGGTGCGCAGCCCTTCTTGTTACCAGTGGCTGTGTGTGGCATCATGGAACTTGACACGAATCAGGGAAGGGACCTCAGGGGTCAATGACCAACCATACACAGCATTCTTCCCAAGTGGCTTGGAAGGGATGTTGCTTGAAGTGACCCAATAGATGAAGAAACTGGGTCAGTCTGTGGGGAGGGGCCACGGGGGCCTCTGCCCCACCCCTGAGACTTGGAATGGCAGCAGGTACTCACCAGTGGCTACGACTGTGGCTAGAAGACTGCTTTCCATGGTGATGTCTACACACAGAGAAGCAGTGACGGGGATGTCAAGTAAGGGCATCAGCCTTGAGAACAGCCAGCAGGGACATGGGACTGGCCCTCCTCCCCCAGGTGCCCTCCCTGTCCCCCAGAACCCTGGTCCGGAGGAACAATTTCAGAGCAGGGCATCTGTGAACAGCTCTTAAGGTGCTCAGCCTCTCCTGCCCCTGCTTGTCCTGGTCAGTACCATGCCATGGCCTAGTGTTCCACAGCTGGCACTCTTCTACACACCTGGCAGCTATGAGGGTCCCGCTACATCAGGAGACAGGGTGGGTGGGAATGGACTCGCTTCCGTCCAAGCTGACAGCCAGCCAGGGGAGCTCCCACTTGCCCAGATCCCTCCCAGCCCCACTGCCCACCTCCACTTCCCATTAGCCCAGGTAACTGAGCTCTGAATACCAATTGGCTGTCCTCTGGTCTTGGCTTACACCTCTAATGGAACCATGGTGTCCATGGTTGTCCTAGAAACCGGGCACACGGGCCACAAAACAAGAGCCTTTCTGCTCAGGCCCTCTTCCTCCCTCCAGAGCTGCTATTGTGTAGCTCTAGGGGCCCAGCCTGTCTGAGCCCACCCCCACCCCATGTCCCACCTGTCCCAGTTGGGAGGATTTCAAAGTAGCCTCAAAAAACCCCAAGCTAGCCGGGCTTGGTGGCTCAGCCTGTAATCCCGCGCCTTTGGGAGGCTGAGGTGAGTGAATTGCCTGAGCCCGCGGGTTCAAGACCTGCCTGGGCAGCGAGACCTCATCTCTACAATAAATCAAAAAATCAGCCGGGTGTGGTAGCGCATGCCTGTAATTCTGGCTACTCGGAAGGCTGAGGCGGAAGGATCGCAGGAGCCCAGCAGGCGAGGCTGCGGTGGTCGGGAGCGGCCACTGCACTCCAGTCTGGGCCACCGAGTGAGATTCCAACTCAAAACAAAAACAACAAAAACAAAACCCCAAGCTTCCAGGCTGAGCTAAAGAAAGATGGGGGGTGGGGAACACCACCTGCCAAGAACTCAGGCAGAGAAGCTGGGCTCACGCTTGCCTCAGTGACCTGAATGGGGATAGAATGGGAGCACAGTGCCTCGACCCCCAAGCCTGCCCTCCAGACCTGTCTGGGGCCTATAGTGTTCTAACTCAATAGGACCCAGACAGGCCTGCCAGGGCAGCAGGGTGGGGCTAGACTCCCCTAGTGCTCACGCCTGCCGGCATGTCACACTGTCTGCAGAGCTTCAGAAGCATGCCGTTGCTGGGTCACCACTTCAGACAAATTAAACCAGAAGCCACTGTCGGGATCACTGTTTGCTAAAGAGGAATGCCAACTCAGGATGTTTGCAGCAGATGACAGTAATTAATAGGTGTAACATGGAGACTAGCAGGGGATGCAACAGGGAGTACATGTCCTGCCTGAAGTAAGATAATACTTGGAGGCTGGGCACAGTGGCTCACACCTGTATGTTGTCATACAAAAAAAAAATTAGCATAGTCCCAGCTACTGAGGAGGCTAAGGCAGAAGGATTACCTGAATCCAGGAGGTCAAGGCTATGGTGAGCACTGATCATGTCACTGCACTCCAGCCTGAGGGTCATAGTGAGACGCTGACTCAAAACAAACAAAAAAAAAAGGCGTTGCTATTTGCATGGGATGTGCCCCCTAGACTAAACTAAAAAATAAAAACTTTGGAAACTGTTGTGCCAGCCTAACACTGTACAGCCAGGACCCAAATTAACCTTGCAGGCTTGTTGGTGAGCTCTTGGCCAGCAGAGTCTAAATGTTCTGATATTTACCGCCTGTGTCTAGTATGCTGGACCTAGTTAATTTTTCTATTGACCAAAGAATTTATGTTCAAGGTCGGGCACAGTGGCTCACACCTGTAATCCCAGCACTTTGGGAGGCAGAGGCAAGAGGATTATCTGAGCTCAGGGGTTTGAGACCAGCTTGAGCCATAAGGCAAAACCTTGCCGCTACAATAAATCGAAAAAGCCAGGCATGGTGGCACGTGCCTGTGGTCCCAGCTACTTGAAAGGTTAAGGCAGAAGGATCACCTGAGCCCAGCAGGTCAAGGCTACGGTGGCCATGAGTGTGCCACTGCACTCCAGCCTGGGTGATAGAGTGAGACTCGGAATCAAAATAATAATTTGTTAGAAAACAAAAAACCACCGGGTTCGGTGGCTCAGCCTGTAATCCCACGTTTTGGGAGGCTGAGGTGAGTGGACTGCCTGAGCCCGTGGGTCCGAGACCCACCTGGGCAAATTGGCAAGACCTCATCTCTACAATAAATAAAAAATTAACCAGGCATGGTAGAATGCGCCTGTAGTTCCAGCTACTTGGAAGGCTGAGGTGGAAGGATTGGAGTCCAGGAGGTCAAGGCTGCGATGACCAGGAGCGCCCACTGCACTCTACTATGGGTGACAAGAGTGAGACTCCAACTCAAAAAAAAAAAACCCCAACATTTTGAGGACCAAAGGACAGCTTCAGATGTTTACTAAAACAGAAAAAATAAGCATCTCAGTCTCCGAACCCAAACCCAATTTCCTTTGCATTCTTGCTGTTAGCTCCTTCTAGTTACCCGTCCAGCCAGGCTCTCCTGAGAGCAGGAGTGTCGTGGTTGAGAGTGGCCCCCTCTCCCTCTGAAGCCTGCTGCCACCATCCAATAGCCAGCTGTGACTTTGGGTTCTTCAGTCACAGCTCTAAGCCTCAGTTTCCTGATCTGTTAAATTAAGATAATAAAACGCATGCCCCAAGGGCTATGAGGATTAAGGCAAATACTGCACGCAAGGTCAGCATGGTGGCAGCTGACCCAGCCAGGCTGATATTGGTGGTTAGGAGTGCCCTCTCCTGGCAACTAGAAAACCTGACATGTGGAAGCCCGGGCAGGAGTCTGTCCCCCAGGCTGAGCTGACAGATCAGTAAGGCTGGCTGATAGAGTGATTTCAGAGGTCCAGAAACCTCTGCCCTTGCTCCCACATTAAGTAAGGGGGAAGGACTTACCCTGAGTCCTGGCTGACAATGGGAAGGGTGTCAGAGGTGGAGAGGGGCTTGGGAAAATGAGATGAACAGACCTTTTCAACATGGCCATCCCAGGGACCCCAATCACTGCTGCTTCTGTCCCTAAAGGGAAGTGCTCCCACGGCAACCACCAGACCATGGCTAGGACTGCCTCTGTTCCTGGGGGTGCCCCATAAGGCAGGGCTGAGCTTCTCAGATGGGCCTTGGTGATGCTGAAGACAGAAGCCAGCATCTGCCGTGAGCTGGCCTGGTGGTGGGGCAGGAGTGTTGGGTCAGGGCTCTCAAACTAAGCTCAAGTTCTGCTGGGTGTCGATGCAAGTCTCTGAGCCTCTGTGGGCCTGTGTAGCCCTCGGAAAGAGGAGCTGGATTAGATGGGTTCTTGAGTCCTTCTGGCTTTTGGGTAGATACTGAACTGTTCCCACTTTGGAGGAATGAGACCGTCACCTTCTAGTGGCCACCAAAGTACCAGCTAAGACTTCTAGAAGGCCCCAGAGTTGATGGCTCCCTAACACCCAGAAGGAAGAGCACAGAGACTGAGAGAGATAGAGATATATTTCTTCTGTTGCATATTTCAGACTTCACACTGAGCTTCAGGCACAATGCTACTCCAGGTTTCTGAGAGCCCTGGCAGAGTCTTCTTCCCACACTGCTCCTGAGGCGCCCGCAGGCATCCCTGGGAAACGCATACCTGGGAGCTGCGTCAGTCTCAGCAGGTCCCCGTGCCCACCTTTCCCACCAAGGGGTAGCGTATGCTGGAAGCCAGCCCCACCCCTCTTCTGGGGTCCCCTGGCTGCAAGAGGAGAGCTGTCCTGCTAGAGCCCAGCTCTGCAGTGCCCCCAAAATCATCTGTTCCCCAGAGCCTGGTGGGGCCCTTGCATCCCTGCAGAGACTCAGCCATGACCACCACAGGTCCAGGCCGGGGATGAGGCCCTAGAGGGCGAGGCTGGCCCGGCCTCATCTAGAACAAGGCAGATGGGCTCAGCCGGCTCACTCCCCACAGCCGTTGCCACTTCCTGGGCTGCTCTGAGCCCTATTGCACAGCTTGTTTCTAATTCCCCCACCACCCATTTTCCTTTTTAAATAATAATTATTAAAAAAATACAAACTAGAGAGGAAGGCGAGGAAGAAGTGGGCGTGGAATGCTGCCAGACCCTGCTCCTCACACTCCCGCCAGCCCTCTGGTCCCTAGCAGGGACATCAGCAGCACTTAATGCCGCGCCCCCCTTCCCTGCCGTGTCCAGGTTCTTGATGGCTGAAATGGGTATACGGCCTGGGCCACTGGTTCTTCCTGCAGGAGGGGACACCCCTCTACCATCTGTTAAGGTGCGATTCCCCGGGTCCTCCAGGGTGTTGGCTGGAGCCCTGCTACCTGAGTCGCCCGTCTGCTTTGACAGGTCCCAGCTCCGATTTGGGATCAGGGGACAGAGAGCTCCAGCTGGTCAGTCTGCAGGGCTCCACGGAGGGGCAGCTGGAGGGCCCTGTGGCACACAGTCCGGCCACAGACCAGAAGGTGCTCAGTTCCCCATCTGTCCAGGCCTGGAGCGTGGGGCCCGTGAGCTCCGCGTGCCGTCGGGCGGCCTCCTCGGCAAGCTCCGGCTGAGGCAGGTTCAGAATGCCGCTCAGGCCCTGGAAACTCTGCTCCATGTACTCGTTGTGGGGTGGTCCCGCATGCAGCCAGCTGGCGTCATCTGGGGTACAGAGCAGGCAGTAAGCACACCCCACCCAACAGGAGTCAGGTCTGGGCACCCAGTTCCTGTCCCAGCTCTACCACTGAGTCCCAGCTTGTTAGTGACTATGACCTTGGGCTTGCGGTGCTATGATACTGTGAGTTTTATAAAACCAAGGCAGTAACCCCTGTATTGCCAACTTTAGGATTAAGTAAAATGGTGGTTCCAGGCACTTTAGAAAATAAGGTAACTGTCTGGTTAGTGTCAGCCATGCCCCTTTTGACCATCATCAGTGACTTCCAGTCTCTCAGAAACCTATACTCAGACCTTCCAGCCCTTCAGGCACAGACACAGTCAACTCTGTCCCCTCAGCTTAGGGCATCCTTCTCTGTCTTTGTCCTTGAGGCTGGGCCCCAGTCTCTGCCTGCTGTGTGGGCTGTCACCATTCTTCCCTGCCTCCTAGACTGGGGGTTCCGGGGCACCACCGCCCCCCCAGCACACCCCTCCTCTAGGCTACCCCTGCTCTCGCCACCTTCTTGTGATAGGTGTGGTGGGGGAAAGAAGCATCCACTGATTGAGCACCTATTGTATACCAGCCACTTGTCCCCCACATACTCATCCCTAATATCTCCCAGGGGTAGTTACTTGTATTAGGCCTCCCTTGCAGGAAACTGCCCAGCCTGTGTCTCTGTTCAGAGCCTCAGCCACGTGACCCTGCCCACTTGACAAGACTCTGCTTGACAACACTGGGATGGCCAATCAGATTTGCTGTCCCAAGCACATGGAACCTGGGGATAAGAGGTCCTGCTCAGTCTCTGGTACACTAAGAGGCCACATATGGTAAAGAAGACAGAGCCAGAGCCGGAGGCCAATACACGGAGACAGGAAAGGAACAGGGACAAGATGGCCCCAGAGACATGGAGAATGCACCTCCAGTTCCTGGTGAGACCTGAGACATTTCCTGGGTCCTGTGAGGGAGAGGCATGCACCCCCCCCCCCCCCCCC